ACTAACAAACAAATAAAGAAACTCGCTTTCACATTTATAATATAGTAGCCGGACCTCCATCTGTAAAATGGATGTACTTTAAACCTACTCCCTAATATTTGCATTTTTATAGGTATGTGGAAAGGATCTAGTCATATTGCAAATTTGACTAGATTTCCAAAATCCCTGTGCATTGCATATAACTGTGTAGATATAGAAACGTTAAACTCAAATACATTCCGAATTAAAATTAAAAGAAATAAGTAAGTTCTCGTAGTTTAATATAAAATTTCATTTTTCAAAATCATAAAATAACACTATTCATTTCAGTTGGCTACAAACATTACTGTGTTAGAAATGAGTGCACAATTTTATTAAGTACACTCACATGTTTTTTTTACAGCATACATACTTTAGATATGCGATATATATATATATATATATATATATATATATATATATATATATATATATATATATATATATATATATATATATATATATATATATATATATATATATATATATATATATATATATATATATATATATATATATATATAGGTATACATTAGTATGTGTGTATATGTATACACGAATCTATGGATATCCTCAACGTTTATCCTAAAAACGGTTAGACGGATTTGAATAAATGGGGTGTCATTAAAATCTTAATTATAATTAACCCTTTATATAGCCTACGGTGTTGCCGTATAATTATGCGGCAACATTATACGTTGTGTGGTGATTGTATAAAATTATATATTATTACTATAAATTGTCAAAATATTGCGAAATTTGAATGTTGTATTTTTGAGATGTAATCACTACCTCTTGTTTTAGGTTTGAAAACAGATAACTAGTTACTACGTCATTTATCATTTCGCTGCAATATTTACAAATTTTATTTAATTCAATCAATTATAGACTCTCTTTTTAAATGTTATGAATACGAAATAATTGAAGGCTATTATTACAAATATTGAAGAATATGAATAATGAAACCATTACTAAGTCGCGCAATCTACAACTCATAGCGAACAGCTTATATTTTCTCTAGTAGAGAACGTGAACGCAAGCGGTGTTCATGATTTTGATTTTACACTGTGCATCAATTTTGAGTTTATAATCATAGTAGTTTTTACCCGATACTTCATCCACGTGATCGGACATGTTTATTCACCAGGATAAAAAGTAGCCTATGACTTTCTCCATTCCATATACGTGTATACCAAATTTCATAGTGCCTGGTTAACCTTTACGGTACTAAAAAGTACCTCTTAAACTTTCACATTTATTTTATTACGAGTAATAAAGATATCGTCAATTTCAGTGTTGTTAAGTGATGGAAACCTCAAATAATTTTAGTATAAAGTAAAAACTAATTAAATTTGTTACTAAATAAGAGTAGATACTTGGATGGTTGTCTTTGTCGCTTGTTGGTTATAATACTCGGCTTAATCAACGTCAACGCGGCTCTTTGATTAATTAGGTTTTATAATACTCCGTATGTCCGGAGATAGGGTAATTTGGATATTCAATTCTACACATAAAATTAAAGTTTTGTCTGAATTAAAACTCATATCCACTAAGAAATTAATTTCTGGTGTAAATTAGGTACTTTACCAGAGGTATTTTACCAGAGAGAGATATTCTATAAAAGTCGTTTGCTTGATCACCTCTGTCCGATTCGTGTTTCTACCGTAAAGCGATTGTGTTTGCATGACTGTGTTTCCGTTTGAAGGATGGAATATGGCAGTGAATTTACAGGATACAAAGGAATAATACCTGAGTCTTCAGGAATGGCAACGCATGGGGAGTATCATAGGCGAAACAGTATACTTTGTTATGTCCATGGTACTGCTCATGTCTATAGGCGACGGTTACCACTTTCAATCAGGTGGGCCGTCAGCTTGTATGCCACTCTAAGTTGTATAAAAAAAGGTACTAAAGTTTAGACCAAAACCTGATTTTTTAAATTATTAATAATAACTATATGCACACGCTGTGTGGTCCCAGCATAGAATAGGCCACCCCTTCCTTTCCCGTGGGTGTCGTAAGAGGCGACTACGGGAGGGCGAGAGATGGGCAGCAACATCTCTCTTAAAACATCTCCAAAGCCTAACTGCGATTGCCAATCCACCTGCCGAGCATGGCAACTACTAGCAAAACCCTCCAAGGAGGTGGGGAGGCTTATGTTAAGCAGTGGACAGTTAAAGGTTCATATGATAATGATATGTACATATACCACTCAACACTAGCACTAAAATTGTATATATACCAGGTCACTCTGAAAGTATTGAGATAAAAAGTTTATATGTATGTAAGACTGGTCAGTTATAATTTATTTAAAAATATGATTACTTAGAAGTAAACGAGATACATTCTAAGTTCGAAACTTCCCTCCACATTTTTTGCGAGCTAATTAAAATCACCGTGTCTCATTAAAAAATTTGCGTCGAGAACATTTTCGCGCTATGATTTTTTACAATTTTAAGTGTCGTCTGAAACCGGACGAATCATACGATAGACTTCAAATAGCATTCATGAATGTAAGCCCTTCTAAGGTAATTGTGTATCGTGGGTATAATAAATTTAAGCGCGTTCGACTAACTTTAGGGGATGAAGAAAGAAGTGGTCGCCCTTGACGGCTGTTACGGAAGAAAACGTGCTAGTAGTGAAAAATTTGATCCAAGACAATAAACGAGTTACATACAAAGAGATTCAGCATATACTGCAGATTGGATCAGAAAACCTTCACGAGATACTACACGTGCATCTACGGGTGCGGAGGATAGTTTCACGCTGGGTGTCGCACAACCTCATCGATGTTCATGTTGCCTCAGAAGCAGGCAAGGTTGGAATGGTGCCATGATATGCTAGACAAATTTGAAGCAGGCTCGTCTCGGCGTGTTTACGACATCGTTACAGTTGATGAATCATGGATTTATCAATACAATCCAGAAACAAAGCACCAGTCGACGCTTTGAGTGTTTCAAAACGAATCAACGCCTACCAAAGTAAAGCGACCTAGAAGCGGGGGAAAAATTTTGATCGTGAGCTTTTTCAATTTGACTGGTTACTTGATGTTAATTCCTTTATGAAATCAAAGAAGCATTAACGCAGAATGGTATACTACCAAATGCGTGGCAGAAGTTTTCTCTGCTGTGAACAACAAGCGACCAAACACAGGGCTCCGCGGGTACCACGATAATGCGCCCTCCCACACCGCAATCCAAACGAGGGACTTCCTAGACAGCACACCGGTCAAACTCCTGGGTCACCCTCCTTACAGCCCAGACCTAGCACCGTGTGACTTCTTCTTATTTCCAAAAATAAAAAAATCAACTCAAAGGGATAGAATTTTCATCGCCGGATGATGCTCTCTCAGCGTTCGAACAGGCTGTAAACGAGGTGTCTGCGGCGGACTGGAAAAAGTGTATCGAAAACTGGTTCAGACGCATGAAACTTTGTATAGAGGCTGGTAGAGAGTACTTTAAAAAAATGTAATAAAAATATATTTATCTATAGAAAATTTTTTTAGTGTCGCAAAACTTTCTGATGTACCACTTACTATATATTTTATAGAGACTAATCATAGTGACCACAACCCATCTAACGGTAAGCAGATAATGTGGTCTAAACGTTAGGGTCATCATCACAGCAATTACTACTTGGCGAATGTCATCTTGTATTTGTTTGTATAAATTATATTAACTATACTTAACAAATGTAACTCCAAATTGTATATTTTCATAAATGAGGATTATTAGTCCTTCGCTTTTGTTAATTCTATAAAATGAGGACTTCGTGTAACCGGGATTTATTAAATTTCAATGTTTAGTTGTTCACAATACTATAACATAATACTTGTATTTAGTATTGCAAAAAAGAAACAATTTTATTTCTATTGTTTTTTTTTTTTCATTTTCCTCCCACACATAACGTATTTTTATAACTTTACCTAAATGCAATTTTCACTTCGGAACCCAAATTTATATGTTTCACATTTGTATGTGAATTTCTAAGAAATGGTAGAAGACAAATATTTAATTTAAAAGTTTCCATGCATCTGCCTTTACCAGATGAATGGATGGATTTCCAGAAGAACAGACAGAGTTATCACGATAATAAATTTAAGTTTGGGTACGGTACCATAAATACTTTCAAACTTGTTACAGTAATTACAAGATACAAATAAATAAAGGTTAAGTCGAGTGACACCAGTCGGAATCATCATATCAGCCTTTAACTGTCCACTGCTAAACATAAGCCTCTCCCTTGGGGGATTTTGTCAGTAGTTGCTATGCTTGGCAGATGGGTTGGCAACCGCAGTCAGGCTTTAGAGATATTTTAAAAGGAACGCTGCTTCCCGTCTTTGCCCTCTCTTAGTCGGCTCTTACGACACCCACGGGATAGGAAGACATGGCCTATTCTATACCGGGACCATACGGCCACCCAGAATAATCGTAACTAATCAGATTTAATAAAACATTTTTTGTAAATTTTTTGTTTTTTATTTACACTTTATTGTATACAAAAAAGGTTATAGAAAATATAAGAGTTTTCTTCCAGAAAACCTGCAAGAGATTACGATTTTGTTTTATAGTTTATATTAAAATCCGTTTAAGCGTGATTAACGTAACAAACAAACAAAAAATAATATCCAAACATCTTAACACACGCATATTTGTAACGTTGGGAGGATTACATTCTTTGTTTTGACTAAAAAATGTAAAATTTAAAATAATTAAAAATAACATTTGAGATTACAAATGTTACAGATTTAACCATTTATAAAATAATTTGTGTTTATAATAACAATATTAAAACATAAATATGTGTATACATGTATTATTTAGAGAAGTATTTATTACAATAATCAATAATTAATTTGTAATTATTTAAATTGTTATATATAAAAAATACATGTGCACATATAATTAATATACATGCAATTAAATATTAGTCAAACTTTATCGTTTTAATAAATAGTTAAAGCTCGATGATAGAAAATTTACCTTTTTATATTCCAAACTTTCACTTAATTTTATAATAACAAATGACACTGTAAACTAAAAACAGTTAATAATTAATTTATATTCGATTTGATTTAATTGTTACATTATTTCCACCATACAAGATAACCGTTATTTTGATAGTCAGATAACGAGTTCGTTTCGTTACGCGACGCGCCAGACTTTCATGTAGGTCGCAAGCTCGCGTTCAACTGAACAGTCTGTACAACTGAAACCATGTTCTTCCCGTAGAGAATTTCAGCGTCAATTTATTTGTTTACACTTAATTACAAACAGTGGTTACCACTATGGTCTGGTCTAAAAGCTGTTTCTAAAGACTAAAAACGCAAGACGCAAAAGTATCAAAATCCCACCCGATATAAATTGTTTTTAGAAAAATCCCGTCATTGTCGGCATACATCAAACAATCTTATATTTTGCGATTGCATATTGACAGGTATTTGCAAAACGTCGACAATAATGTGTTTTAGTTATTTTCGATATTGTTTATTTTATTATCCGACGTGCGTTTTAAAATTTATACCTACAGCTGAGAAAAAACACAGAAGTCCGATCGACGGTTTGTTTTCATAGTTACCTACGTAGCGGAGTAAATGGAATCCTAATCGAAATGATTCCGATGTCTCTCTGTCTACCTATAACTCATAGTTTCATAACTTGTATATATTACCGAAAATGTGGATTGATACTCATAATTTATAAATTTAGTTTTTCGGTGACATCGCACTTAATACTTATTTACATCTGGATTAAACAGAAAATTAACAATCTGTAGTTTTTAAGAATATAAAACTGAGATTTCATAGTAGGTAAAATTTATCGTCTTATTTACATATTGTACGACATAAACTTACCCCTGAGACTTAGATATCGGGTATGGGCTGTACTATAGTTAGTTTGCTACATAAAGCACAATATTTCGTGTACTTACATACATACTCGTAATATAATGAAATTGTAACTATACTATATCTATTCATAGGAGATTTAAAATCTAAGAAAAATTTATATGAGGGATATTAATAAGAACAATGGAGGTAAATTTTTTTAAATTTTATTATTCTGTTTTAGTATCACCCAAAAACGTATATTGTAGTGATAGCAATGCTCGCTGATATAATTATAATACAATATAAATGCTTATGGTATTTCTGTGATAATATGGTCCAGGCATTAATTCAAATAATTAGCCATAAATATAAGATCACAATAAAATCTTAACGACAGAGCAAAGGGATATGTCATTTATGTTCAGTTTATGTGGATAATGATTTTCACATATTTTTTTTATTATTGACTCAACTTTATTGAGCTGAAATTGTTTGAACTTATATAAAATAAATTTATGAGTACACAACAGATTCTTAGTGACACAGAAGATGAACAATGAATCAAAAGTTGAATTTTGAATACCTAAAAAGAATGTAAGCATTGGAAGACTGTTCATTTCGAATTTGAAACTTTAAAATTGACGTTCAAGTTTTTGATTTTAACGCGTGTTACAACATCTTCGGAAAATTCCTCTCTTAATAACTGAAATAAGTATTGAAAGTTTGCTATTTTTTAATATCTAATCTCTAAGATTAGCGATTTTGTATCTATATAGACTATCATAATATAATATTACTATAAAAGTATAGATATAAAAAAAATAGGATTGGTTATTTATTATTCTTATTTTTTTATGACATGGGGAAATGAGCATGTAGCTAACGTGATGATATGTGATTATCGCCGCCCATAGGCACCCGCAACATCAGAGAAATTCCAAGTGTGTTGCCGGCCTTTTAGGAAGGAATATGCTTTTTTCTTGGAGGTTTTAATGCCGTATCTGTTCTTTTTTTTATACAACTTGTATAAAAAATGTTCGGAAATACTGCTGCTAGAAATTGATTCCATACTTTAGTTATGCGTGTAAGAAAATGTTTACAGAAACACACAATAAAGGACCGCCACTCATTCAGATGATCGGGATGCAACTTTAGCTTGTGACGAATTGTACCGTGATAAAATTCATCAGCTGGATATATGGATGTTAATCCAAATAATTTCTCTAAACACTATGATATATGCGATAAAAGTCGCAAAGAGACTCAAAGTCTCAACGCAATTATCTCTTATGCTGTTATTATAAACTAAGAAGCAAATTTAAATATTTTAAGAAAACTATTCCTTAAGGGGATGAACTTAGGAGTGAAAATACGAATAATTAATGAATTTAATGTAAAATCCCCACCTTTAATAGAAAATGACGCCATTTCTGAGGAGTATGTTATATTTTACATTTTCTCATGCGCACTGATTCGCGTGGGCGAATAAACGCGATAAAGACTAGTTTATTACAAACATATTTAGTAAATACATGTACTCACCTAATATATGTATAAACTAGCCATTTCCCGTGCCGTTGCCTGCTTCTAACTATATAGTTCCCGTATATCATTCTCATTAGAAATCTTCATGAACCTAGTCTTATATTAATAATTCTTTATTAAGGTTTTTTTTTAATGGGTAATAATGGAATGGTAAACCCGCCCGCGCTATTGGTATACACTGGCGGGGCACCAGTGAGAGATGATAGGTGAGGATGAAGCAGGTCAGTTAGCCATCGTGACGAATTCAACAAGGATTAATCACGATGGTTTCCAGGGGGAACCACGTGGAGGTCGACCTGATAAGGTGTATTGGTAGCAATAGATTCATTAGACCCCTTTACTAACAATCCCTTTCCCCCCTCTTTATTAAGGTTACCAGGACCCACTTTTTATATTTTGCTTTTTATATTGTATTATATACTTAAATGATAATTACATATCGAATACCTTCATAAAGTTTCAGCCAATTCAACCGATCGATTATTTTATAGCATTTTGTATGTGATTCTTTAGATTGATATAATTTTTTTTTCTTATAAACTGATTGAAATAAATTAAACACTAAACGTTAAGTGGATCAAACCGCAACGCATTAGTAAAAACTGCATTAAAATCGATTAAGCCCTTTCAGAGATTAGCATGCACAAAGGTATAGACAAACAGATATATAGACAAATAGACAAAAATTCTAAAAATCGTTTGTGTTAACAGAATCCGCTGAAGGGCACCAGTAAGTGGTATATGATTAGTTAATCGTGATGAATACACCTGGAATTCAGCACGATGGGAAACCACGTGGATGTCGAACTGATAAGGTATATTGCTAGCAATGGCACTGGTAGTCCGTCATTACAAACAATCTCTCCCCACCCCAAAATACAACAATACTATACACATAATATCTTAATAAATAAACTCGATGAATGACTTTTTTTACTTTGGACAAGTTGAAAATTTAAAAACAACCAGCGGGAAACAACCCCACTCATCTTTTTAAATATTTAATTCAGGATGCCAACAATTTTACATTTCATTAACGTCCCTCTGCGAAAACAGACTGACCCTCCATGGTCGCTTTATACTGCTTAGATGATCAGTTAATAATGCACTAAAGTAATTTTATGCAAACTAGATCTACTAGAGTTTCATTATTTTTAAGTAAATAAATAAAAAAGTCCTTATCCTTAATATTTAATAATATTGTAAACTAGATTTTGCCCGTGATTTCACACGCGTTTGAAAGTAGGAGTAAGTATTAAAATATACCACATAATAATAAGTCTTTCAGGAACATAACTAACCGCATCCAATTGGGGGAGGGAGGTTTTTTATGAGTGAAAATGGTATGGTAACCCCGCCTGCGCTAACGGGATACGCTGGCGGAGCACCAGTGAAGGGTGATAGATGAGAATGAAAACAGGCCAGTTAGCCCATCATGATGAATTCATCAGGAATTAACCATGATAGTTTCCAGGGAGAACCGCGAGGAGGTCGACCTGGTTGGGTATATTGCTAGCAATGGGATTCTCAGTCTCCATTACTAACAATCCCTTTTCCCCCGGGGGAGGGAGGTTAGGGATTGTTAATAATTAGATTCAACAGATCTATTACTAGCAATATACCCTAACAGGTCGACCTCCACGCGGTTCACACTTTTCTTTGTTTACAGTATTTATACTAAACAAATTGTTGCACTAATCAACCTTGTTTTTAATACAAATGTACGCGCGTGTTAGATATTTATTTTAAATTATATTAATTTTTTTAAACATCTTGTATTAAAATGTATACCTACATTTATTAATAAAAATCAGACTAACTACTTTAAATATATTAAAACGTTAAAATTGTTATTATACCAAATTTGATAATTAATTGTTCTTGTAATGTATAATATAGAACACTAATTTATATTTTAATAAATTTTATAATTATTATTGTCATGATACTTGAATAAAAAGTAATGAAATTGTAAGAACACGTGGTCTCGCTGACTTGTTCACTCGAATTCAGCCCTGCAGATATAAAAGATTGTTATTTGGGTGGGGAGACACTTGTGACGAATTGTACTGTGATAAAATTGTCTTGCCTTGTCCAACCGTTGAACAGAGTGGAGCTCCCTACCGTATCAAGAGTGAACAAGTATAGTAAACCACGTGGTCATTATATAAAATATATATCAATTATTGTTGATAGAAGTCCTAAAGTAGCTATAGTTAAATAAGTGTGCATGGATTAACAGAAGTTGGGTATTTATGTTATATGTCATATACAAAGTAAAATAAGTAAATATATGATTTAATAGTATGATATCTAAAATAAATTTACTGTGAGAACTTGTGCTTTATTTCTATTTATTACCAAGAGGCTTACAACCTTTATATTGCTAAAGAATATATATCATATATATATATATATATATATATATATATATATATATATATATATATATATATATATATATATATATTAAATTATTATATAAACATATTACCTTACAGTAACATATTATATATATTAAATAATATAAATAATAAATACAGTTTTTTTAATACTTTGATACGCGCTTACGTCGTTTCTTTACACTTTCAAATACGAGCCCATTTTACTCTCAATTCTGTTAAATGTATTTGTAATTCGCGATTTCTTTTGATTCACATTTGAAGTATGATGTCCGGTTTCATCATTAACTAAGTCTTTCACATTGAAATATATAATCGACCGCATAAAAAGTCTAGCGGAGTTAAGGAAGTCTTCGACAGAGGAAGTGTTGTTGTATCTGTTGATAGTACGATATAC